ATCGCAAAGCACGTTCAAGTAGCCAAGGTAGACAACGATCGTCCTCTTTTGGAAGTTTAATTATAATGGGTCTGCCTCGGTCTATCCCATCAACTTTGCATGCATACCAAGCTTTTTAGAATGATGCTCTGATATCTATTTTCTGGCTTGCGTGTGAAGACACGAGCAGAGGACACGCCCTATACCATGCCATGATACGGATACATGCTTGTGCATAATTGCGGCTCCAGGCCATAGCTATTACGGAGTAGTGCTATACTCAATCCGTAGATTAAGGGTTTGCAGGCGCTGATTAAGGGCCTTAAAGTTGATTGTGTAAGCGGGCGGGATGCGGTTGAATCTAGCGCCAGGCGGGCTGCTTAGCTTCTCGTGATGAATGATGAGCGCTTCATCAACGGTCCCACATACCAGGGACCATGAGTTACAGTACAGAGTTAAGTCCAACTTTAAGTGAAGCGAAGATTATCTATCAACCCCGACTCCGAATTTCGCTTTCACGGCACCTTTACGAAAGCCGCCCAGGGGCCAGGCATCGAAGTTTGTAACTTTGAAGTGCCGCCCTCCGTGGAGGCTTTTCTTGACCGTATGTATAGGGCTGGGGCTGGGGCTGGCAATTACTAACTCAACTCAGATTGCAGTACTATACGGACGGTTGAGCAGCCGTTGATCTCCATAAGGAGGGACGGCAGTGGTGATCAGACATGCTTATAAACTCAAAGCCACGTACCGCTGCACCGTTAGACTGCCGCGATGATACCTTCTTTGCGCCTCGGATATATCAACCGTCTTTGGCAGGCGTCTTACCGCAGTTTCGTGACGGACAAAGACTCCAGAAGTCCGAATGCCTAGAGTACCTTGGCTAGCAAACAAAAGAGCCAAAAGGGGTGGGGTATGAAAGCAAGCCAGCTTCATCTCCAGTGTGTAGAAGTCATAGTCACAGTCACAATACGTCTCAGGTTTTGGAAACAAGATCGATAGCCGGACTTGTTCAAGGTGCCGAAACCGATCGGAGTCCGCGGCTGGGAGACAGTCCGTTCTTTGATGCAATGCAATTGAAGCCATGGACATGGAATTGGACACGTGCATGTAGATGTTGCGTAAGTGAGATGAAGGCTGAGGTAGCAGTCGATCATTTGATCAGTTGTACAACTGCCGAATGGACGAAAACCTCCGCGATTTGAACCCGAGCTATCGGTAAATAGACAAGAAGCCTATTCACTTCACCTCACTCACCATCCTTTGAGGCTAGGTGTAACAGAACCATGTAAAAAGCAATGAATGATATGATGGTTTCATTACCGTGTTCCTCCTGTGCGGCCTTTGCGGTCTGGAATCATCCCGCCCGCTCCTTTGAAATGAAACCTTCTTTGAGATTCTGCCAAAGAGACCAGTTGCTTCCCTGTCAACTCAGATCCATTATGAAGCGAATTCCATGTTTAATTATGGATCTTGGATACGACGAGAGCTTCGTTTCAGTCAAGGTTCAGTTGAGCAAGACAGGCTATCTCAAGCGCTAACCACTGAAACTAAGGGAAAGACAAAGCCCGAAAAAGGCATTTCCCGTCATCCTTACAATCCAACGAGAACCGAGGGATATTCTCATAGATGTCCATATTCGTGACATGCAAGTTGTTGCTGTGAATCAGGCCACCACAAACCCCGAACCCGGGGCATCGATCGATCAGAAATGGATGTGACGGTTATAGCGGTAAAGCTCCCGGATAGCGGAAATGCGGCCGCAAGATTTCTCCAACTACAGCTGGTGTCCCATTCTTTTTCATTCTTGTCTCTATCTTTTCTCTCTCTTTTCTCTCTCTCTCTCTCTTTCGCATTCTTCTAATCCTCGCTTATCCACTTCCTCCCCACACATAACTCACTGTTACACACGGCACTGCTACTAATTAGTTACATACAACATCTAACCGTCGACGTCATGCGGTCTTGATTATCAACAAAAAGTCCACCCGCTTAGCAAATTCAGTACCACGTTGACGTTCTAACTTGCTCAGTGAGTGCCAGTTTCACCGTCCGGCACTTGCTCTAGTCAAACTCTGTTACTAGTCGGTCAAAATAAAAAAAAAAGTCAATGGACCCAGGGCGTGTTTTTCAAGTGCAGGGACAGTGGAGTTTTAGTGCATGATGGTGGTGATGAATCCTCGGGGCGGGCACCTCAGTCGATGACACCAACGCACCTAACATCCATAGAAAGCGAAAAACCCTGATCGCCAGAAACGAGCGCTACCGTAGCCCTGCCTAGACCTACGCCTGTGTCTGCGCCTGGTGCTAAACTGACCCGGAAATAGATTACACGCGCCGGGGATAATACTCGTCCGTCCCTGTCCCTGTCAATGGCTGAATACGTAAATCGAGTCCATGACTCGTCTTTGACTGGAGATATCCATGTTAGTTCTGTCTGTGTAAGTGCTTTGTTCACAATCGCATCAGAACTAGCCAAGACATATCTCATCGAATTTTTCGATACAGCCGTCGAAGGGTATTGCAATACGTGCAAGACAGGTACATCATTTGATCAGTATTCTCACATCTAAACTGATATTCAACCTTGATAAACAGACGCCGGAGATAAAGACCTTTTGCAGCAAACGTGACCTAAAACGGGCGTAACGTGCTGACCTGATGTCATATCATGATGATAACAAGGCGACTGTGTTCCCCGACGTTGTTGGTCAAGTAGCCTGCAGCAAGCCTATCTAGATCTCACCTTGACCAAGACATTGAGGTGCCAAAGCGGTTGGTCAACTCGGCAACTTGAAGCCGAGCTATGTTTTATTTTTCGCGATGCGGGATGATGATGATGCTGTACATGTCCCTGGGGACCAGTGATAGTCCTATGGGATCTTGTCTTTCTCAGCCGCGTCCCTTGGCTTCTCCTTTTGACCAGGTTCTTTTCCATGAAAATCTTTCTAGAAGGCCGCGGGATTATCAGTGCATGGTACCCCCATCGGCACCGGAACGGCAATGGTGGATCTATCGGGTTGAAGATATCTTGGAAGCAGTAAACCGACCTGTAAGGACTGTCGGACTCGCCCGAAATTTCACGAGTTGGTCACTAGACGTTCCCCATTCATCTCATCACCATCACCATCTTGAACTGGTGCACGGACTTGAACAGCTCTTCGGTGCCGAAGTGGGGGTTCCTTCTGTTCAATAAGGCCAGCCAACAGTGTCACTACTGCGTGCTTATCCAGAGAAGGTTTCCATGATATCAACACCAAAAAGCCCATGGGTGTGAAATGAGGTCAGCGGCTTCTCTGATATTCAGGGCTGTTGGAGAATTGACTCGCGCTACGATTCCCCTAAGCTAACGCACTTCAATATCCCGACCTCCGTGCCGAGGTGTGGCCCGGCCTTCAAGTCGGCGATTAACCCCGACGAAGAGCCCGTCGGGTTTTTTCCCCTGCTCTGCATGCAACGCACCAACTTATGTACACGATTCGAGATTGCAAGTCTTGGGTTATGTGCGTTTTATTTCCTCGGGCCGCTTTCGGTCAAGGTGAAGCAACCCTTACACCCTTGGAGGAGTTAGGGAAGCTGGAACGTCATATCCATGTTCGCTTTGAAATTGAACAAACAACGGCATATGGACCAAAGTCGGCATGTCGAGAAATGCCTCAATACCCATGGCATAACATCGCATCGAATGTATGTAACTGAGCTGGACTGGACCGATCTGAACTGAGCCTGTGCACCTCTGAGTGCGAGAGCCCGCTTACACTTACACCCCCTTCTCCATTTTCGTTTTTATGTTCCGATTATCAGACACAATCGATGCCTGGCAATCTCCTTCAAATGGGACGTAACGTTAATTGCTCGTGATTGTTCATCTCGAGGCTGCATGGCACAAGCCTGGGCCCATCATTACTTCACATATTACCAATCTATTCACGTTTCCAAGCCGTCGTCTGTCCTAGCCTCTCCCTTTGACACTTCTTTTCGCCTCACTAAACTCTTCCAGGACGCCCCATAAGAGGCTCCCAAGAGGCTCCAGAGCCCGTTGTCCCGGTTCCTCGGCCCCACCTTGCTGGGGGGGAGCGGAAGGCTTGTACTCGGCCGAAAACCGCATCGCAGCCCAACGTCGCATGATATGAGCCTCAAGCCCTATGATCTGAGCTGAGCTTGGCATTGTACCCTGATGGAATGTTTGATCACCAGAGAATCTCTATGTTCTACCACTTTCACAAGGAATCACAAGCAAACTTACTTGGCCATGGCCTTGAAATCGCAGAGTTTGTCGGCTACTTTCGATGACTCTCCTTGGGGGAAAAAATGGGACTCAATGGTTCATCGAAACTCGCCATGATTCTCAGCTCTTGTTCTACGGAATTCGGTGTTGAGGTTTTCCTTGTCTGTAAGATGAGCCCCAAGGTGATTCAGCCGCAGACTTGATGAGTCTACCAAGAATCCGCCAAGCAGGAACCAGTAACAAGACGTTTCACGCAAGATAGAAATCCCATGGAACAACTTCAAACAAGCCTCATCCCTGAAAGGCTTCCAATTCCGATCATTCTCCAGTAACGTCCGAGCTACGGGTCCGATGCTGTCGACGTATCGCAACGTGAGTACGGATCCTCCTCATGAACCACCCCCGGAAGGCTTATCACGCAAGACTATGTCTGACTTCTCGTCTTCGAGATCGCCTGCACCCTCATCTGGCCAAGAGATTGGTTGAGCTCAGATATTGCCTCTCGCTTGAAACTATGGGGCTTGTAAATCAGCACTCTAACGGCCGAGCTTGTGAAAGTCTGGTGGTATTCTAGAGTCCTTTTATATCCTCGGTTAAGCACCCACTTTGATCACGACTGACAGTTACATCCCACGTCCGTTTCGGAACAAAGATATCGATCCATTAATTGATTACGGAAAAGTGGATTCAACAGGGAAAAGGACATCGTTGTCCACACGATATCGCTCTTGAATCATCAAGCTTCAATAATAGTCATGTACCCAGGAAGAAATATCAAACCGCCAGACCACCTACTCTACACATCATTGTACATGATAAGCCGGGGGTGCTCTTGTTCGCAAACAGCCCATGTCCACGCGGCACTCGGCAGATAATTCATGAGGACTGCGGCTTTGTGGCCATAAGATGCAGATTCGAATAAATCTGGATCGTGTCGACGCACTTTCTCCACTGCATCAGCGGTGGCCAGTGCAAGGAAGTGTTGTCGATTAGGTCCACGGGGAAGCACCCTACTCCGAGGTCAGTCACAGCCGAGGTCTAGGATATCGCGGTGCAGAGAAGGGGAAGGGGGCTGAATACGGGGGAAACGTACAATGCGTTTCCAAAAATTCCATGGCACAAGCATGGTTCCTTGGTGAGAAGACCATGCCTCCAGGTTATGCTCTGACCTTTCTCGATGGCTGAGTCGATGCGATCTTGCAAGTCAGGAAAATACGGGCGCAGGGACGTCAGCGAATACAAGAAGCCAGGGGCACCATGGCACCACTGAATGAGACTTGCGCCTTTGCCCTCCTTGAGGCTCCGCAGGCTCGACGGCCAATTCCCGTCAGGACCTTGAAGCTCAAGTAGCTTTTCCACGCGTCGTGTAAGTTGTGGAGCGAGCGATGGGTTCGAAAGAACGAGCTGTGTGATGATACCTATGTCACCATGAGCTGCTCCAAAGTACCTCTTCCCATGCCACTCCCAATTACCCCTGCCGTCGTCATCAGTGGCCATGATACGCTCTGTAAGTCTCTTGATCGGAGATTCAACAAGACTCTCACTCCTAGGAACCCAGTGTTTCACCATACGCAACATGTATAATGCACCTGCCCGCCCATAGGGTATCTCTGATGGAAAAGCATCTTCCTGGGGGCTCGTGTAGGGACCAAGAAGTACCGGCATATTGCTCAGGAAGTCTATCAAGTGATCATCCTCCTTGGTTATGCACACTCTCGCTGCTTCGAAGGATAGTTTCTCGGACGAGATGCCGCAGTTGCCCTTTTCTAGGATTAACTTTCCACGGTCTCCCTCCAGGTAGCGTTTCGCCCAAGACAGCAGGTCTTGGCCAGATATTTTCAGATCTGGGTATAGTTCGGACAGTTGAAGGAACAAATAAGCAAGACCAGTGTACCCAGTGAAGAGACCGCCAAGGTGGCGTTCATGGTAGACTTCACGAGGCGGCGTATGTCGTACGACGAGTTCAAGAGCATATGTGAGGAGCTCTTTGGGATCTGAGCCGAGTTTCTGGGGAGGAAGGTTATTCGAGATATATCGTTGGGTCATGCTGGCGGCGATGGCATATGCATTCGTGAATCTCTGGTGAAGTTATCGAGAGCGGTTCGCGTTATCATTATCTGGATGAGGTTGTCATCAATTTTGGGCTCGACATGATGTTATACGTGCCCTCCCAGTGACGCATACCTTCGTCTTTTAGGGATGATCAGCAACACCGTACCATATAATTGGAGGAGGGGCAAAAGACGAGGCTCACGCGACAAAACATACCACCAATGTACAAAATAATAGGCTCTCCAGACACGACAGAAGAGATTATAATAGGCTCAAAAGTCGGGTTTGAAACAGGCCTGCTTTGTTCCAAGGTCGATCGCTTACTACCTATATACGGCTCATGACAAACAGACAGCGTTAGTGAAGCTCCCGAAACTTGGGGCCGATGGTGGGTCATGAGCTCCCGGCGGAGGTGGGTCCCCTGGGACGACGTTGATGCGACTTTGGAGGGGGAATACAGGGTTAATAGATCGTTCTTGAGAGGAGGAGAAAGAATCACTTGACAGAAGTACTGCATGCCATATAATGTGTACCTAACTTGAAACTATTATATCAGAACTTGTCAAAAAGCGTAATATACACATCATCGTCACTGGTTTGTGCCCCTGGTTACGTAGAAGCCTGTGACGATTTAAGCTAGCCCCACTCGTAGGGCCTTGAGGTGCCAATGACGACATCGACTAGAGCTTCTCTCTCTTGAGCTTCCATGGTTTAGGGTGGAATGTCAAGCTTGTGATTGTCAACCTCGCTGTGATATAAACAAAGCGAAGCAGGTCACCTCTTTTTCATTTGGCAACATCAAAGTGCTCTTTTAACGATTCGTTTCTACACACGATCACCAGCACCGCAAACTTGCTCCGACTTTTGCATTCAACAAACTACCATGGCCGACACAGCTGAAGCTTCGGGAGCTGATCACCAGCAGGAACCTGCCAAGCGCAACAGAGTGGTTGACTCTGTTGGAGAGAAAGCTCAAGAGGTCTTGTACGCATAAATTGCTTCGATTCTCTTCTTCTTCTTTTTGAAGCTAATAATATGGCTTACTAGTAAGGAGGACTATGCCCAGGCTCGAGAGCATGTAGCCAGCGCTGCCAAGAGCCGATCCTACCTCTACCCGATCAAGGTACAGGGTCTCCCTTCTTGAGCCCCAGAGAGGTCACCTGCTAATGCACCACGTATTGAACAGGGGATTTTCTACTTCATCTCCCATCGCTCACTTTGGAAGCCATTCATCTCCAAGCTCGGCCCGCTGGTCGTCCTCTCTACCGGTGTCATTGGTGGCATGTTCTTCTTTACATACTTGCCACAGCTCGCCGTACTATTCTTCGTCAATGGCCCTATTGCGCCCTTCTCTGCGGTTCTGTTGGTTCTCAATGAGAGTACCACCATCATCAACCTTGTGTCTCGCAACTACCTCCTTCAAGATGCCCTTCTCGATGTGTTTGATGGTACACTCCTTGCCCGTGGAGATACCCAAATCGTGAGCGAGGGACGAGAGGTCAAGTCTGGAGCAGATCCGATGCAGAAACTTGGCAAGATCATCAAGAGCCCCTTTGAGAAGTTCAGCCCCAAGGCTATTGTCCGCTACGTGATGTACCTGCCCCTCAACGCAATCCCGGTTGTTGGTACGGTCATATTCATCCTCATTCAAGGTAAAAATGTAGCATCAATAACTATATCACTCCACTGACCACACACAGGTCGTACTCGAGGCAAGGGAGTTCACGGTCGAGTAAGTTGCCTATTAATTGGAATTTGAGCAGAGCTAACAGCGCTCGTTCCAGTATTTCCAACTGAAGAAATGGTCGCAACCCAAGAGAGAGGATTGGCTGACCAAGAATGTTGGCCCCTACACTGCGTGCGTATTTATCCATCTGCTTCCTGGTTGACGCCTGGTAGCACAGATGAGCCAAATTTAGCTAACTGAAATGTGCAAAAGATTCGGACTAGTTGCCACTCTTCTCGAGATGATTCCGGTTGCTTCCATGTTTTTCACATTCAGTAACACAGGTAAGTCTCAAGCGAGCTCACGATGTGTAAAGCTAACGCCAAAAAGTTGGAGCTGCCCTCTGGGCTGCTGATATCGAGGATAAGAATGCCTCGATGACTGACGGAACTGCCCCTACTCTGCGTGAAACCGCAAAAAAGGCCGAATAAGCGCATTCGTCTTCGTACAACAGGCTAAGCCTCAAAGCCACGCAACATCCACGATCTGCGAGACATTGTGTCCAAAACATGAAAGCAAAATTAATTATATGGATTTGATTTTGATATTCTGAAGGGTCGAAGTTTATAAGAATTGGGGGATGCATGAGGCAATCACGAGTTCCTGCCTGCCCATCTAAGGTAACCTAAGAATACGGGCGAGCGCTTTCACAAACCTTTTACGGGAAGGAATGTCCATCAGTCAGGAAGGAAGGAAGGGTCTAAAAGATATGTCTTAGGTAAGGTAGGTAGGTAGGTCTAGGCTCAGGTACCAGTCTCTTTTCGCAAAACTTTCATCGTCTCGATTTGTCTCATTCTTTACATGTCAACGTGAGCCTCGCAACTATCCCCCTATTTGAATCTCTGAGTCTTCGCTGTTCAAGATGAAAACGTGTCAATGTCTGAGTCTTCGCTTAAGTGCTGCTCTTGAGAGCAACCAGGTTCAGAACTGGAACCACCCTCACCTTTTGAAACATTGATTCCCTTTCGAGAAAATTTCAACCGTGAGCCTTAACCCTTGTCGTTGTTCTCGGTTTAACTGATAATGCCACGAGATGACATCTTCCAAATCTTTCATAGTCACCCACACCTAGTCGTCCAAGAAAACGAAGCAGGATTGCCGCCCTTCTATACACCCGGACGCTCAACAGAGACAAACTAAGTGCATCATCGAACACTTCACCCCTGATGCGACCCGACGGCAAGCTGCATCTCGCCTCGTTGCCGAGGCTCGTTACAGGTGCCACGTCTGCACGGATGGCATGTAAAGTCTGGGATTTTGGTCCCCGGGTTGTGAAACCTCCAACGACCAGGCCGTTGATCCCCAACGGTCAAAGGCCCGACGTGGTTTGTGTTCCACCGCTTAACACAGCCAAGATCTCGTCTACAGACAGTTGACCAATGCAAGTTAAATCCCGCAATGCGAGTCAGAGCGAGATACGGCCGTACGAGGATTAATCTGATACAGGTCATGTGTGACCTGACGAGGCCAGCAAGTGTCTTCACTCGAGTGAAAGGGACGGCTCTCAAACATATGATCACCTGCTTGTTCTCGACATGTCTTGGGATATGATGTACAGAATATCACTCGGCATCGGCAGGAATAGGCTGGCTCATACTCAAGTAAGAGCAATTCTGGAAGCCATCGCTTTTGTGTTGTTTCCTCGAAGAAACATGATGGGAGATGAAGGGCGGCCTGTGACATGGCACATGGAAACAATCACCGGCTGATGAAGCAGAGGCGGTAGCAAGGACACTCCATACATGCAATCAAGCGATAATACGACCCCAAACTCAAGTTTATTGTCCTGAAAGAGTGGAGGAAACTGAACAAGCATCGACAACAGCTGTGCAAGCCCATCCCATTGTGTCTGCCTTCGTGTCATAAGCAAACAGAGCTATAAGCCTGTCCAGGATCCCGGGATAGCTTCCATCGGGAGGAAGGCAAGCAACCAGCCGGACATATGTTCTATGGGGTACCAAGAAGGCTATATACGGCCACCAACGACCGGAGCATCGCGGACGACGGTCCAATCTAGCAAAACACATCCAGGAATCACCACCCCAATAACACTGAGCTAAGCACTTGTAACCCATTGGACCTGAAAATACAGCTTGTACGCTCATGCTGTGGCAGGATTTCAGGGATGAATTGAATATCTGACTTTAGAAGGTAGGTATGTGCCCCTTTGCCTGTCACTGGCAAAATTCTTGTGACAGCTGCTGCCAGTTGCACACTTCATATCTTCTATCTTTTGCCCTGTTCATGATTCACTCATTCCTACGCATGCCTTGAACTGCTCGAATACTTTTCTTCCTCTTTCTTTTCACTTCTTCTACCCTTCTTTTCTTCCGCTTCGCAAATCTCGCTCTCGTGTTCTCCCCATCAGCTCGAGGAAGCATAGGAAATAATATCCTAGGAGTCGACAATCACTCGTTTACCTGTATCTCTTATTCTACTATCGACTCATCCGCTCGTTTAAACACTTCTGTAATAAACTCCGTTCGCTGAATCGTTCTGGTGAGTTCAAAAGGCAATCTCTGTATTTGCTCAAGGGCGAACAGTATTCGCTGACCTCAAGGATCAACAGCACTACAACATCTTCATCATGAGACCACCTAACATTCCTTTGATCACCGTCCTATCGGTTTTTCTACTGCTCTCTTGTCTTCTGAGCAGTGCAACTGGGCTTGGTCCCCAGCAGCATCGGGGTGCTCGCAAAGATGTGCGCGGCAATAATCTCATCGAAGCTCGCAATCCCTTGGGTAAAGCTCTCGCTGATGGCTATGGTCCACCTCCTCCCTATTATACTGGGGAGCCAGTTGCTCAAACTGATTTGACTTCTCGTAAGTATTACGCTCTGACTTAATGTCCTCCTTAAATCTAACATTGTCAGATCATTCTCTCGAGGAGTCCACTGCAACCGAAACTCAGACTGGAGCTTCCCAAGCCGGTGTGCCATCTAAGTCAAATGTTTCTTCTCACCATGAAACTGTCTCTTATGGCAGCTCCTCTCTCTCTGTATCCTCAACCCTGGAGACCGACACTGCCATGATAACTGTTGGCTCAAGCGCAAAGGCTGGTAGTACATCCGGCTCCGAGGCATTGTCGAGTGTTCACCTGACAGCTTCGGGCTCTTTCCTTGGGACTGAGACTTCTGGTGCTAAAGCTTCCTCAATTTCACTTGGTCAAGTTTCTTCTATTTCTAACTCTTCGTTGACTGGCACTTATCCCTCCGCGGGTACCTCATCACCCGGGACGGAAACTGAATTTCCTTCAGGTTCTGCCTCATCTGCCACAGTCTCTGTTTTCTTTAACGAAACAAAGACGATCACTGAGAGCGTCTCACACACACAAGCAGTGTCAAGCGCTGAAGTTTCAGGTGACTTCACTACACCGGAGCTTGCTTCTCGCCTCGAGAGTAGCGTAACGAAGGCTAGGTCGACAACAACGACAACAACAAGGATGCTTAATGTTACAGTGACAGTCGCCCCCGGTTCTTCAAGTGGTAATGCATCAAGCCTTTCATCTTTAACTGTTCCCATGACTGCAGACGAAACCACGACAATCACAGTCATCCCACAACAGAACTCATCTGAACTTTCTACTGAGGGTCTTGCTACTGATACTGATTCGGCGGGGGACCCAACATTGGGCAGTCTGGCCACTGAATCGACCAAATCTGTCACAATCCAAAGCACTCTGACCAAGGTTGCTATCTCGGAATCGACTCAAAAGTCTACCCGTGCTTCGAGCATTCCTGTCAATGGAACAGTGAGCTTCACTACTACTACTACTACTACTGCCTATTTCACTACAACAATTGGAGTTCCTGCCTCATCTTCTGTTCTGTCAAATTCATCTGGCATTTCAAGACCTACTATTGTTGCTTCTGATGACTCGTCGGGGGCTGGAACAGGAGACTCGTCGGCGATCATGGCATCTATTACTGTTGCCTTTTCCACCACAGTTACCACGAGCAAGACGTACACTGCGCTCAACGTCACCTCGCCAGCAACAAGCTCTCCTTTCTCTTCAGTTCCGACCTCCGTGGCTAGCGCGAGCGTTGACGTTTCCAAGTCGAATATTGCTACAACATCTAACCAAACATCTTCAGAGACTCTCTTTGCATCAACAGCCCTGCCTACAAATGCGACCTCTCACTCAGTCACCGAGCCCTTCGTTGTGACTACTGTGTCAGACGGCTCGGTTATTACAATCTTCCCCGGCGGTATCATTCCAACTGGGAGCGCTACAAGTTTGATGAACAACTCCGTTTCTACACAGTATTCCACCTCTGGCCCTTCGCGCTTCAATTCGTCAATGTCCATCAGACGGACTTCATTGTCTTCTCATACAGACTCCTGGCTTGACTGGCCGACTTCGACGCTGGCGATTTCCCATACTTCGGAAGCAACTTTGGAGGTCCCATCACTTTCTTTCCCAACCTCTTGGCTTTCGATCATTACCACGCCAATGACGCCTCCTAGTGTGTCTACCATGTCAACTCAAGGCCAATCTGATGGCTCAACACTTGGTAATGTAACGGTGATCAAGACAACAATGACTTCTACCATCACTAGCAGTCTCACACCGACAAGCCTATCCTCGTCTGGCAATGTCACGGTAGCCCATACCACTAGTGGGTACAACTTTTCTAAAAGTGTGGGATCCATCAAGAGCACATTCAGTTCTCGGTCGACCTCTCTCGGTATTAGTACCGTCATCATATCCAAGCAGCCTACCAACTTCCCCTTTCCCACCAACACAAGCCTAGTTTGGCAGTCAGAAACATCTTCAGCGTCACTCTCTGAATCTGACAAAACCATCGGCCCCAAAGCCAGTGATGTTACATTCTCTTTGACCACAGCTGGATTCAATAGCACTACTCCTCATACCAACTCCACTACCGTTACGGCCAGTGAAACATATCCTTCAAGCAATACGGATCAGACGCAGTCCATCATTACTGCAGGGACCTCTGGGTCGTGGAACATGACTCGCAGCGCTCAGTGGTCCACAAACTCAACTGTCCAAACAACTACCCGTACTGGCTCTGATTTGGTTTCTGGAACTCAAACTTTGAGTGACACAGCTGCCGCCACTCCTCAGCCGCCCGCTTCGCTGAACGTTACGCTCACCACTATATCAGACAGTACCTATAGTAAAACGTTCACCGATGTGAAAGTCACTATCATTATGCCGACTTTCTTGACGACATCTGAGAGTGTTTCACTCACAACGGTATCGATCAGCACGGCCCCCTTCCCTCTTCCATCAAACACCACATTGACGGGAACTGGCACTTCTTTTCCACCAAGTGGTACAGGACCTCGCTTCACCATTACCGGAACCTTGGGAGACTTTTCAACGTCCAGTATGACCATTTCACCATCGATCAGCACAACATATCTCACTATAAACACCACAGTGGCTGGCATCACGGCTGATACTTCGGCCTCTGCTTCGGGCACAAACGAGCCATTCTTCCCGGTCTCCAACTCAACTAGTCTGGGCACCACCAGTCTCTCGACAATCGCTTCATGGAGGCCAGATCCTGAGCCGTGGACGAGCTGGCCAACTTTGAGCCTCACGAATGAGCCAGGTGTCTCGACGTGGACTGTAAATAGCGAGATTTCACAGTGGACTTCATACACTCGAACTACCACCAAGTCTTTGACTTCTACTTTAGGAGAGCCAAGTATGTCTCACTCTTCTGTTCACAACCTTAGCAGTGCAACCTCGGGGTCAACCTTTTATACTCGTACCACGACTTTGACCCTCGCAACCACTTTGGAAGAGCCCAGCACTTCCCCGTCCACCAATGGCAACAGGAGTATTGCAACCTCACAGTCCATTTCAAATACTCGCACGACAACCATATTCCGCACTACGACTATGGGGGGGCCAGGAGTGTCCTCGCCTGCCCTCAACAGCTCAAGCGGTGGTGCTTCGTTGTCAACCTCATACACTCGTACTACGACATTGACGCTTACAACTACTTTGGCAGAACCCCCAACATCTCAAGTATCTAGGGCTACAGTCACAAATTCATATGTTTCCACATGGGCTAACGTAACCTCCGGGGTCGCTGGCTTCACGAGCACAGAGACTATCTCATTGGCCACCGTTACATCGTCGCTCTCGGGAACACAGACAACTTTCTTGACAACTGGTAGCGCAAAGGGGGTATCGACCAGCCTCGAGAGTTCCGCCTTGGCACCAATCCCGGTAGGTAACTCAACTCTATCACAGGCTTCTGGGAGAACATCTTCAGGGATTGACACTTTGACGGGCACACACTTGTTGACTGGCTCGGCGGGAGCAGCTACTCCATGTAAATCTACATCTACTAGCTCATCGACCTGCACGGAATCAGTGTACGACACCCCGACCCATACAGCGATTCCAGCTAGCACCGATTGCTTGACTGAAACGAATGGACCAGACTTATCGTTATCCCACGTGTCGGCAGTAACAGCCACTGAAAACGTCTCATCGACCTGCAACACAACAAGCAGCACGGTGCATTGGTCGAACATGACTCACACATTTGGTGTAAAAGGTATGTGATATTCTTGACGGGTAAAATCACCTGACTAATGAAGGTCAGATACAGAAACAAGCACCTACCAGCCGCTTACAACATTGCAGACAATCACAAAAGCGCAGACTGACGGGGAATTGGGCTCGACTGGGGATGACTATCCCACGCCCACAGACAGGGTGCCTGAGGATCCCAACTTTCCATGGGGCAATGACTCCCCAATCCATCGTCACCAGAACTCGTCTAAGCTTGGCCCTGGTGAAAATGATGGCGACGACGATGGAGGTCTGAGCAAGAGAATCAGCTGGCGCCCGCGGTGGGAGAATGTCAGAGACAAGCTGGAAGGTCTCTGGCGTGGGAAGTCAGAGGACTAAGTCTCAGGAGGAAGAAGGCACGATTTGGATTGTGTTTGTAAAACATTCCCTGATTATGAAGCATGGCATATCGGGGGTTCATTTCTTTCTATGGACATGTTGGTTTTCCATGTCTGGACTTCTTTTCTACTCTAATTCAGCCCTGTTTGTTGGCTTCGATTTCGGTTTCGGTATTTCGGGCAACTTTAGGGTCCGGTCAGGGATCACAGTGGTCAGACCAGGCCAGAGAGGGCAGGGCAGGGAGCCTTGGTTTATTGCGAGACTTGCTATGAGTTGGTTGAAAACACAGACGTTACGGATGTGTGTACAAGACTTATATAGTTCATGCTATTAATCATGTCGAGATTATAATAAGTATCGTTTTTCTTGGACGAACTCATCTGGTATGGGCCTTTTGGTCGCGTGCTTTGGAACAGATATAGGGATGGATGTGAGTGAATGTGAGACATGTGAGTGGATCATTGGTATAAATTCTTGGCTGATACTACGAATCGAACATGTACATATACGCGTATTGCCAAGAGATAGGTACATAAGCACCTAAATAAAGACGTGATGAAGCAAGACAAGTCTACTGATTCAGTTCATAAAAGTGTAGGTGGGTATCTTACTGAGGTGCCTTGAGAGTGTAAGTTACCACTCAGGGATACCTACGGTGAAGATGTAAATAATTGTGTAAGGTTGGTACCTAGGACCTGCGATTGCCTCTTTCTGACCAACGGTGAACGGTAAGTGGGCAAGAGGCAGGACAGTGCATGAAATAGCTGAGCCAATCATGTTAGCGCAAGAAAGAAAACCCGAAGTTAAAATCGTCGTCATCGGCAGGAGGGGTCGTTCCTTCCGGCCCCAGATTTCGTGCCTCTTACACACGGACTTTACCCAAAGCGGATCCCTTGCCACCGAGACATCCGACGCCTCAAGAGTAAAGCACGTTACCATCAGCTGCGCTTCATTCTTTCCCTCTTTTAATCCTTTCTTTTTTCCACGCAAACGACACCAACGACGACAATATCGCCATCATCGTTATCATCGCCAAATCAGTCAATTAAGCATCGCAATACACAAATCGCATATACCGAATACCGAATACTCCATCACATCATGCTTTTCAAGCCGCTCGCCCTTGCAGCGACCGCCGCTGCTGTCCTCATCGTCCCAGAGACTTCTGACAAGGACGACAGCATCTTCCGCACTCTTCCCATCGAGGTCGACACTTTTGAGATCCCCGAGACCGCCTATGGTCAAGTCGTAGACGTCCCTTGCCTCCAGTGCCGCGGCCATGACAGCCAACTCGAACTCAATTTCGGCATTCAAGACCGTCGTCTGGTATTAAACGGCTTCGAACTCTATCCTCACGCCGACCCTTGGAACGGAGACCTGTCGGCAGCTGTCATCAAGGCCAACGGCAAGAGCGATATGCGTCGGCTGGGATATGGCTTGGCTATTCGTCCTGAAGGAGTCGATAATGATCAACATCTCGAGGTTGTCAACGTCGAAGTCAGGATCATCGAAGTCGGCGACCGTTTTGTCGACGGCGTCCCTCCTGTCACAGTAAAGCTCATCAAGGCTCCTGTCGGCGAGATCATCATCGGAAGCATCGAGGTCAAGGGTGATGGCGAGAAGGCACCAGAGGATTGTGATATGTGGTGCCGCGCCAAGGGCATGCTCCACGATACCTGGAAGGATGTCAAGGGCAAGTTCAAGGGTAAGGGCTGCCACGGAATGAAGGGTAAGGGTAAGGGCCATGGTCACGGTCGCAAGCCCCATCACGGTCATGATAAGGGTGAGAACAAGCCTACCGACAACTTCAAGCACGGTCCTCTCGTCAACAAGGCCCCCGAGCAGTCGTGGAGTGATGTTTTTACACACGTCACGGCATATATTATCATCCCTGTCCTTATGGGTGTTGCTGCCGGTGTCGGAGTTGCATTGTAAGTCAATGCCCTGCAGTTGTTCAATTTGCACCATACTAACATAATCAGTTTCACCATGTTCCTTTGTGCCATGGTTCTCCGCGTGATCCGCATGTTCAAGAGCGAATCTGCCGACTCCGAGCCTGAGCTTGCCCCCGGTGCTACTCACAAGGCCGCCATCACCGAAATGCTTGTTGAAGACGAAAAGTCCGGTCTTATGGTCGACGAGGAGGCTCTTCCCCAGTACGAGCCACGCAACTAGAAGTCGATTTCTGAGACTCTGTACTTACCCGCATTTTAGCCGTGGTTGATAGAAAAGGGGAACGCACACTACCAACACAGCCTTCTACGACAGGCGTGTTATTTATACCAAAGATTGTATGTTTTTAAAGGATTCGGGCTCGGGATAGGCGTTATGAGTATGGTGGATGGGATTATGTCTTATGAACTGGATGGCTACGTACGCATCAGACTTGGCGTGGCTTTCTTTGGTAACGATTTGAAATTGTTATTGTCCTTTCTTTAAAGATTCAGCGGTGTCTATCAGGTTATGGATGGTCTAGGCACTATTGGCTAAACTTGAAATACGTCGATGAATTACTTGAACTTGATAAACTCGTGTCGGATGTACTCTGTAGGTATTCGATGCATTCATTATTTGAGACCAAGATCGCCAGTTATAAAATGGTAGTACCACCCAAAGTCTACATCCCCCCTCCCCCACACAGGCTGTGGACCCTGAATGGGCATTATCCGCTCACACTCTAATTAAATTAGTTAGCTTCCACTCTGGGTTTGGGGGAGCATTCGCAATCCAAAGTCATCAAGTGTGGATAGAAAGGTCATGTCGTATGCGGGGTTTCGACTCGCTATATTCTAGCCCGACACCCGAGTATAGCTATATAACTAACTACTTGTTCCCAATCCCATCCAATCTGGAGTCGGTTCTAAAAGTCTGTAGCTGCTAGACTACTTTGATCCTATTTTGTCTTACTTTACTACTGTCACTCTCACTCTCACTCTCACCAGCAATACGCACAGTACAGTCCGCCACTTATTAAACACAACATGTCCCACACAGCTCGCCGATTCGCTCAGATCGTCAAACTGAGGCCTCAGCACCTTGCTGAGTACAAGGAAGTTCACGCCAGAGTCTGGCCCGACGTCCTCAAGCAGATCCAAGAGTGCAATATTCGAGACTGTATGGCCTATCCTGATGTGGTTCTACAAGGCAATTGTAATAGAGACTGATCGCTTGTATAGACAGCATTTTCTACGATGATCAGAGCCACATTCTCTTCGCCTCGTTCAAATACATCGGCTCGGATTACAGTGGCGACATGGAAAAGATGGCAAAGAACCCTCGTGTGAGAGAATGGTGGAAGATGACAGATGCCTGGCAGGAGAGTCTCGTGCCTGGTGCAGTGAGCTCCGAGGCCGGCGAGCCTTCTTGGTGGAAGCCAGTTGAGGAGGTCTTTTACCAGCCTTAAGGTGAATAATGCAGTATAAAATTCAGGAATGGTATAAAGAAAAGCCACAAACACCCCGTACTCATAAAGAGCTGATGGTCTAAATCTCTTACGATTCATGGCATCGAGTATCAAGTCCTGAGGCCTCTATCTTTTGGTACAACGCCCTTGCTTATCTCGCTCGCGAGTGTCACATATTGTAAAAAGGGGAAAGGGGGGGTTAAGAATAGAAGGATAAAATGAAAAGGGCGCCTCCGAAATGCCTATGCAAAATTCTTCCTCCTTTCCTTCTTTTCTTTCTCCGTCTTCTTCATCTGTCCCGTTACTTATTCCGCACTCATTACCATCCATGGCCCGGCCCTGGCGAAGCTGAACTGAAGCAAGTAACGAAACGAAAGCACTAGACCGACGCCATCATTGCGAAATGCATATTTACCTATGTTCATGCCTTATATACAGTGTCTACTCTTGACTCCTGGATCATCTGAACCTCGCTGCTCTGCTTCACCTTGGCCCATGGACTGCTCTATGCCGAAGAGACGGGTGGGTGAGAGCAGCCATTGGAGATAACACATGGCGCTTCACGTTTCCTCCTATTGTCTTGGATCCGATACTGATCTTGTACCTCAACAAGTCAACCGATTCCTTGTCGCCAATACTGACATTAGCTGCCTCTTTTGCCAAAACGCCTGCTTCTTTACGAGCCTTGGCAAAGAATTGCGCAAGGCTAGATTGAGCGTCTTCGGCACTCTCCACGTCCTCCTCCTGCAACACATAGAGGACGGCAATACGTGCAAAGTCGAGGACCTCGTTTGTGATCTTGAACTTGGTCATCGGGTCCTGTGTCTGCGATGGTTCTGCTACCGCTGAGGTCTGTGCAGCATTGCCAGCTTCGCTTGTTGAGGTTGGCGCGTTTTCGGGGCTTCCCTCGTCAACCACCAGTGTAGTTGGCGCGGCGGTTTCGGACGATACGACGACGGCAGGGGCAGTTTCAGGTGCACGGGCAATGAGAGTCGGTGCAGCGGCCTCCCGCTTGAACTGGAGAGCCAGGCTGTCAAGCAAATTCCTTTTGCGTGCTGCAGCGCCATCAAAAGTAACCAGGGAGTTCTGGGCAATACAGGACAGCTCTGCAGCATTGATCTTCGCCATGATGGCAGTTCCAGATAGAGGGACAGAAAAGTTTTTCTGGCTGTTCTCGATAAGGCGTGGAATACTTTTACCAAGCGTCACGTTGTTCAGATCGTTGCCTAAGTCCGTAGTCGTGCAACCATCGGAGCCACCTGCGCTACAGTCGGAGCCTGTAAAACCATTTGTGCAAATGCATGAGCATGTACCCTGCGACATGATGTTTGTTCCACCGTTCTGGCACTTTAATGATTCTTGGCATTGAGCAAGGGCAGACTTTGGCTTTTCATCATTGCCCAAGTTCTTAAAGACGAAAAATTCCAATGGTACAAGGACAGCGGCCAGAATTATACCAACAAGTAACAGTAGTAAGAGAACAAACGCCCACACAGGCAGACCGCAGCAGCGCCGACGTCGCTTGCCCTCGCCTTCATCCGAAGGCGTCATCTCGCGAAGGCCAGATCGTGAAGAAGCATCACCCTGGCGGGTGGGG